GATTTACTATATATTAAATTATCGGAGGAAATAGAATTACTGTTTTTTTTTTATAGGAGAGGGGGCAAACGAGCATGCGGGTAGAAGTAACTACCGCCGCCCATGATCAACCGCAACACCAGGGGAATTTCAGGTTTGTTGCCGGCCCTTTAGAAAAGACTAGCTCTTTTCTTGAAGGTTCCCAGGTCGTATCGGTCCGGAAAATTCGCCGGTGGTAAACTATTATATATAAACCACACAGAGAGGTTGTACGGGGAAGAAAACTCCTTTGGAAACGTACAGTGATGGACCGCCAAACACCCAGATGGTGTGGATAGTATCGGGACGTTTACCGCGTAGTGTGTTCACGAAATTTGGCGGCTGGGATTAATCCGAACAATTCCTCATAGCACTCTCCATGGTATATGCGAAAGAAAATGCAAAGAGATGCAACATCTCTTCGCAGTGCCAGTGAATCGAGCCGTTCAAAGAGCACTCGGTCGTCGACGATTCCAGCCGCTCTGCGTTGGATGCGGTGAAGTGGAAGGAGCTGGTACTGGGGAGCTCCAGCCCAGAGATGGGAAAAGTATTCTACGTGCGGCCGAACCTGCGCCTCGTAAAGTTGCAGGCGGTGTGCCGGCATGAAATACTGTCCCGCTCTGCTGAGCACGTCAAGCTTTTTAGAGGCCAATTTGGCCTTCTCTTCCAAGTGACCACGAAACTGCACGTCACTCGATACGTCGACGCCGAGGATTCCGATACTGGCTGAGACAACAAGAGGAGTACCTTGAAACTGAGGAGATACGACAAAGGGGTTCTTTTAAGCGGTTAACGCGCAAACGTGTGTCTTCTGGGAGTTAAACTGGACTAAATTTAGTCACCCCCAATCCGAGACTCTGTTCAGCAAAGATTCGACTTCAGACACAAGTTTGTCCCGGCACTCGGAGACGTTTCCCGAGAAATATTGGCTCGGCCGGTGTAAAGAGCATCACTAGTGCTGTCATCTGCATAGCAATTAATGTTACGGGTTTGCAACATATCATTGATATGCAGAAGAAACAGCGTTGGCGACAGCACGCAGCCTTGTGGAACACCAGCATTATTATACAGGCTTGCAATCGGAGCTTGCACCGTCTACAATGACCTTGATGCTCCGATCTGCAAGAAAACTGGTGATCCAATCGCACAATTTCTCGGAAAGCTCATAGGAAGGGAGCTTCGAAAGAAGCGCTTTGTGCCCAACCCGATCGAAAGCCTTCGCAATGTCCAAACTAACGGCCAATGCCACCCCCTTGGACTCTACTGCCTCCGCTTATCTGTGAGTTAGGTAGACCAGAAGATCACCAGCTGACCGACCACGGCGAAAACCGTATTGGCGGTCACTAATCTGCTGGTGATCCTCAAGGTACCTTATGAGCTGGCAGTTTACAATGGACTCATTGTTTTGGAGAACAAGGAGGTGATGGCGATAGGCCGGTAGTTGTACGGGTCTGAGCGGTCGCCTTTTTTAGGGATCGGGTGGACGTAAGCCGTCTTCCATGATTTTGGGACTGCGCCTAGGTAGGAGTACCGGAAAAGACGCGTTAAAACCGGTGCCAACTCTGGAGCACACGTCCTCTTCACAATTTGGGGGATTCCGTCAGGTCCACTCGACTTGTGGATGTCCAGGGACAGGGAGGAGTACTTTGCGAACAGAACGCTGTGTGAACTGCACTTCCGGCATGGATCACTCACACCGCGGGATGGTCGGCGGCGTACTCCCCCCGTCATCGAGAGTCGAGTTGGACGCGAAGAAAGAGCCTAGCAGATCGGCTTTCTCCTTTGCGATATGGGCCAGTGAGTCATCCTCCCTGTGCAGAGATGGAAGAGATGGCTGACAGAAATTCCCCTGGACAGCCTTGGCGAGAGACCAGAATGCACGGGTTCCAGAAGGAAGGCGAACTAGTTTCTCGCCAATTCCGCCTATGTGCTCTGACTTTGCCTCGGCAATGACTCTTTTGAAGGACCTAGAGGCGGAATTATACTTCTTTTTTAGAGCCCTGTTGTTTACATCCCGGGACGCTGATGCGTCAGCCCAGGCTTGGTAGCACTACTGCGGCGTCGACGGAAATCTGATATCCGTCCGGATGAAAGGTCAGCAGAAAGTCCAACAGGCAAGGTGCATGATACTCCACATTTGGAATCCGCGTAGGCGAAGTAACCAGTTGTGTCAGACCGTATGCCAAGGCAAAGTCATGAAATAGATCTCCCCGCATGATCGGTTAAACGTGAACCAAGCCATTCGTCGTGATGGGCGTTAAAGTCGCCGAGGATCACGATCTCTGCGGAGGGGATCTGCTGTAGCAACGAATCTGTAGCCATTTGGATGTGGTCGAAGAGTCGGTCTGTTTCGGCATTACCGCTATGGGACCTGTAGAGGCACCCGTAGACGCGCGGATGGTCGTGACTGTCTACGCGTAGCCGAACCTTCAAGTCTACCGAGTCGTCGAGAACAGATGTCCTCTCTGACATAATCGCAAACTCCAGCCCAAGGCACAAAGGAGTGTAGTCGATAAGTGTCAGTTCTACGGAATAATCTATAATCTCTATGTCTGTATCAGTCGTATAAAACGGTGATGTTAACCTTTTTATTTGGTTTTACTGATACTATGCAATTCGTGACGTAAATACCCTTGCTTACGGTGTGATATAGAACTAAGGATTCATTATTCTGATAAATCTCGAGCAAGTAGTTTGATATAGCGCATTCAATGACTGCTTCTAAGCGAGCTGGGATGGTGACGGTCGGCTGATGAAATATAATAGGAACTTGGTGACCGCAAAGAGTATCTTAGAACTATAATCTATATTAGCATTATAATATTTAAGAAAATCTGTACCAATAATACCGTCGTAATTAAGGTTTATGCTATCGTTAATGACATAAAATTTGTGCTCGTAAGTTTCATCACTTAATAAAAATTGTAAGTAGATTGAGCCTATTATTTCGCTATATGTAACCGTATCATTTATACCTTTGATTCTTACTTTGTCCTTAACAAGTTCATGTTTCGTTTTTAAACACGCGTGTTTTATGACACACACGCTTGCACCGGTGTCGATAAGAAGTTTGAGACACTTAGGAAAATATTTTGTTAATAAATTTGTGTATGGTAACGAAATCTTGCATGTATTTATACTCGTTTCAAAAATAGGAATAGAATTAGAATAAGACTCATTAAGGTGGCACAAGTTGCGGGCTCGACCTCACTGGTGGGCGCGGCCAAAAAGCACGTTGTCTCACCTGACATCGTGCCCGACAGAGATAGTATCAGTGAAGAGCAGTTAGAACGCACGTCTTGTTCGTACGGCGTTCCGAACCGTTAGAACAAAATCGAAGTTACACGAACACGATGCACACATACATACCACCCTATTCCGTGCCGCTCGACGCTTGCTGAGAAATCAGCAGTACCTACCTACAAACTCGTACTAAATTATTAGGCGCTGCGTTATCGCTTTATACTATATCTCTATGGCTCTATAAAAACCTAATATAGATTGCTTATTTTATTATGTTTAGTTTTCCCCGGGTGGTCATGCAGCGATCACTCAAGAGTTCACGACGCCGAAGCATGAACTGGAACAGTCATCACAGTTTATACCTGTACTAGCTGTTGCCAGCGGCTTCAAACGCGTGAACTCGACAATTATCCCACAGGAACGAAATACCTGAATAAACGGTATCAAATGTGTTATTCCAGACTAGGTATAACCTATCTCTGAGTTAAATATCATACAGATCCCTTCAACTGTTCTGGCGTGATTGAGTAACATACATCTATCCATCCAAACTTTCGCATTTATAATATTTAGATAATAATTGTAATTAGTTCTGCCTACCTATAAATTGTTTTCAAAAATACTTACCTGTCTTCTTACTTTTTTTATATACACACAATATCACTAGATGTAAACACATGGTTTTATCAAGACAAGTGACCCGTCAAGACTGTTTCCTTAATACCGACGTACCTAGGCAGGTAGGTAGGCAGTTTACATTTTAGAGTCCAGGACGCAGCGACAGTTTGTCAAATTTTGTTGTATAGTAGGTTGTGGGTGTCTAGGTAATAATAGTAGGTTGGTACCTATCCACCGAACCGTCCACGCCGCGCAAGTGATTCTAGTCCCACCTGTCCGCGCAGTAACTTTTTTTTACGACGAAAATAATAAATTTATAAAAGTAAAAAAAGTAAAGTTACAGCCTATATACGTCCCACGGCTGGGCACAGGCCTCCTCTAATTTCTGAGAGGGTTTTAAGGCAAGGAAAATGTCCGCCACGCTGCCTCAATGCGTGTTGACGAACTTCACATTTCTTCGAAATATATATTTTTTAATTTCTCAGACATGCAGACCCGAGTTCGATCTTCGCCGGCACCAATGAAATTGTTAATTGCAATTGTGCTGAATTTACCACGTGTTCGGCGGTGGAGTTAACATATTGAGGAAACCTGCACGTCTGATAATATAATTATAATCGAATGTAAATCAAATTGACATAGGTAAGTACAGATAAATTTAGCGGAACATTAATAAAATTTTGAGATCGTTTTTTTTTTTCAAAATTTTATTTATATTCCGCTATTTTTGTCTGTGCTTATATCAATTTGATTTACATTCGATCTCTAAATTGTAGTTTGCGAGGGTAACGGGGATCTATCAGCTCCGGCAAAACACATTTCTGATAAAAGCTATCTAATTTTAAAATTTTGTCTGCCGTCCAAAACGCATCATCTCTTTCAATAATATCAATTTCTATGCTATTTGGCGTCCAAATAACGAAATAGCAAAATTTTCGTTTTGGTATCATTAGTTGGCCTTGAACCTGGTAATAATAATTGTGTGTTTTTTTTTAGTTTTATTCCATTTGAAGTTTCCACACAAAATGTAATTTTTTTTTGCTGTACTGCCTCCAGAGGTGTAAAGCCTGCTGCTGACGACGGGTACTTTATTTCAATCAGACTGTCTGCCCATAACAGACCGTCTGGACTCGCACCAAGGTATGGTTTATCCATACATATGAATAAACCACATGGTGTTACTTTTTGTTTTATTTTAATTTCTAAATCTGCAATTGCGGTTGTCTCGTGTGCCGTTCCATATCGAGTAGCATCGTTTCCCGTAAATGTAGAATATAACATATTTTTTAATGTCGCAGTACAAGACGTAGAATCCTTCATTTTGCATATTTGGCCGAACAGAGATGTGGTTATTCGCTTTTTGCGCTCCACGATCCACAAATCAGAGTTGAATTGTGCTTTGGTTTTCTTTTCTAATTCTTCAATTTCATCATTATTTACTGTTATTGAAAGAAGAAAATCATTTTTCTTTTTTTCAAAAATATCGGGTGGCATATCGGGCTCTTTCACTGTTATATCACCGTAGTGTATATCGGCCGTTTTAAAACGCTTAGCTCTTTTAGTACCGCGTGTTTTATATAATGCCCTCCTTTTTCGTTGCCGTACTAAGTTATTTGTCATTTTGTTTATGTACTTTTCTGTATAGGAGTACAACGTTTCAGGGCATATTGCCTTTTGTACTTTACTTAAAAAACTATAATCTTTTGTGTTATAGTGCCCTACTGTGGAAAAACATCTTGCTTCGTACGTCCCCCTTCGCATGAAATTAACTGGTTTCCCTGCAAAGAACTTAGCGATAATACAATTAAATTGTTCTGCTGCATTATTTGTCTCCTATAGTAGCAAACTTTCCGCATTTTGCAGAAGCCACCCAACATTCTCAAAAATATCGTTCCATATATCCCACTAGATTTGAGTTGTGGAACGAGGTTTTCCTCGGTTACTAATCCCTTACAATAATATTGTTTACAAGAATCATGGCATCCGAACACGTGGCATGGCCTATTCCGTAAGTCTTCTTGAAGGATTCTAATCTTGTCGGCTGTTGCGAGCTCAAGCTGATGCGCGTGTGCTACTGCCCCAGTAACTGCGTTATTTAGGCGTCGTATTTTGTCTAAAAGCGCTTTACGCAAAATCACAGGTACAAAGCCTACTTTGTTCTGAGTTTTTTTCCCTAGTTTTCTAAGTTTATTTGAATAATTTCGCAGTAAATGATTACTGCATTCTATTTTTCTGATGTGAACATTAGGACCATACACCATTGCGTCTCTAAGAGCATTCATTACACTACTATATCCATCACCAATTACCATGGTATACATGAGTCCGTGCATCTCGATGCTTACTTTGAATCCATCTACAATGGTCGATGTCTCCATTTCGGTAGATGGACCAGACCAATTTTTAAAACACGCATGTGCCGGAATTGAGGATTTTTTATTTTGAGCTATAGCACATACGCTACAATATGAATTTTTGACCCCAATGTACAGTATTTTTTTTGTCCGGTGCCCTATTATACAACCTACACCAGAAAGCGAATTAAAATTTGTACCGTAGCTACGTTTAGCCCATGAGCCATCTGTGACGACGGTAACACATGGTACACCTTGTGTAACATTATTATTTTCCAAAGCAAATCGCCTTTCTTCTGCATCTGCTTCTAACATAAGCTGTAACGCTATGTCTTTTTGGATAATGCCTAACTTTTGATTATTTTTTACATAATAAGTTTCGCTCATATTAGACATATTTAAGCTAGCACATAACTCATCAAGCTGGCATTGCCAGTTTGTGAAATACCCTCGATTACATTTAAATTAATAGGTATGTCTTTAGATTCTTTATTAGACTGTTGAGATTCAATCTTTTCTATTTTGTTGCAAAATTTGCACTTGAAAAGAAATTGTGAGTATAACGCTATTCTGTAAATTACATTCAAATGGATCATGCCTAATATTTTTCAATTGTTGAAATAGATAAGCAATATTCACTATTCTATTTCCTTCTAAATTCGCACAGTCACTGTTATCACAGTTGTCGGTTTCAAAAGAAAAATTGTATTTATCTGAATCGGGTTCTGAGGCACTGAATTTGTTATATTCTTGTGTGGTTGATATTGATTCTTCCTGCGTGGCCCTGTAAACGTATAACACAATTAGAATAATTAGGCAAAACTAACAAATGGATTTTACTGTTGTGGCTAATACTTACGAAATCGGCGTGTAACGAGCAAAATCAACGTCTGATTCGATGATATCCCAATCAGTTTGAGTTGATATGTCTCCGGGACCAGTCTGATCGCAAGGATCGTTTTCTAAAAGTACATTTTTCCACCGTAAAGCCTTGTCTTGTCGTAAAGTAGTCTCATGCACTTGGGCTTGCACGACGACTTGTTTAAATGACTCACGAGGTGATCTAAAAACAACATGAGTAACAAAAATTATGTTAGACGTAATAACAAATAGAGAAATTACAATTTCTAATTTTCTGATTTAGAGCGCATGGCGAAGTGATAGCTGCCGAATCATCCTAGAAATGTAATAACTACAGTAGGTACATATAACTATGAAAGTACTTACGATTGGGGCGTGGTCAGTACATGAAGAATATCGGAACTAATCTGTTCACCAAGGTCATTTATTACAGGTGTATTTTGACACTGTGCAGACATTGCTTCATGTACTTCCACTGAACAAATATTTTGCTCGAATGAATCTTGTGTTGATCTAAAAAAAACATGGATTATACAGGATGAAATTAAGTTGATTTAGCGATACTCCGCAGATAAAAATCAAATGATTTGATTTTTTTTCGGGTCAGCGATCATAACACTCAAAATAATCCTTACGGTTGGGACGTATCCAGTACAGGAGGAATGTTTTCTTTATTCATGAACCATCCCCTCAATGTTCTTTTCAACTTCTTCTTACGAGGGGCACATAGTTTTAGGTGCCCTTTATTTCCAATTCGCCAATCTTTTGTATCTGTACCATAAAAATAACAACATTATAAAATAGTTAAAACACTATTTTTAATTATTTTATGAAAGTAATGTTTTTATTCATAATTGTGCCGTTATTTATTTATTAATTATGTGTTTATTAATTTATTTTTGTAGGCAGCCTTCTAACGATGTGTAAGGCTTCTAAAAATGTAGATACCTATGTACCTAGTATTTCATAGAAGTAATGAAGTCGGTTAAAAAAGAAAGCTATTAAAAGTCACGTAAAAAAAATTTAATAATCTATTATATGTATAGGTAAGCATTATGTTATATGTAATATTATAAAGCTGAAGAGGTTGTTTGTTTGAACGCAACTACCAGATTAATCTTTTTTGTTTTATTGTTAGTAGCCCTAGCTATTTAAAAGTTGTTATATTATAAGCTATAAAATGCAACACTGGGGTCATGGGGGCGGAGCAGTAAATAGGTTCCTACGGGAACGCGAGTGAGGAAATCCTAGTACAAGCATACACCTATATAGGTACCTAATACAATATAGGACTAGGTAAGGTTACAGCCTAAATACGTCCCACCGCTGGGCACAGGCCTCCCGGCAAGGAAGTGTCCGCCGCGCTGCCCCAATGCGTGTTGGGGAACATCACATGTCTTTGAAAATATTTTTTTTATTCCTCAGACATGCAGATTTCCTTACGATGTTTTCTTTCACCGCCGAGCACGTGGTAAATCAGCACTTACAATTAACAATTTCATTGGTGCCGGCGGGGATCGAACCCGGTTTGCTCGCATACTGTGAAATTTACAGCGAGCGCTAACCATCTGAGCTGCCACGGCTCTGAACTAGGTACATACTTATCAATAGGGTAACCCGACTGCCAGAAGCACAGTACAATACAGATATTTTTACCGTGTTATAGTGCGTCTCCACCAAAGTTTTGTTGCCAACACAACAGTTGACAACACGTGTTGCCAACAAATGTTTCTGTAATCACATAGTGTTAGCAACAAAACTTGAAACAATATCGGGAACCGTGTTTCCATTTTCGGCGCCAACACCAAAGGAATACGCTTGTTGCCAACATTTGTTCCTTCGGTGGAGACGCTTCTTGGAACATTTTCGGAAACAAATGTTGGCAACTTTTGTTGATTTGTCAACAGTTGGAAACATAAATGTTGTCAACATTTTTGGTGGAGACGCGGCTTTAGAAGTTCCAGAGTAGAAAATCCAACAATCCAATCTAATCTGGTGGAAGGCGCCGTCGTCAACGCCTCTGCTGTCGTTGACGCGTGTCGCTCTTGTGTAAGAACACTAAATAAATTAGATTTAACAAATTATGTGACTTACCCATTGCTTATTTGTAGTTATTCACACCTGTTTCTTGAACCAACACAATGTCACTGGCACAGTGTCCACTCCACAGAACAATTCACTCAAGCCAACAATTCTAATTTGCAACAAAAATGTACGGAGTCTAAATTTTAGTCCAAAGTCAAAAAGAGTAGTATCGAAATCCAAAGTTCAAGCGGGGGTCAATGTAGCGCAGTAATTTAGAGCGCAGGTATAGCTATAGTCATATGAACGTCACAGGCCGCAGCTGACTGAGTCGAATAAAACTAGAAGCGCGCGTCACCGCGCATGCATATGTGGGTGTCGTCCTCCCGCACCGCACCGGGGGAAACATTATTCAGTGAGATGCACGATAATTCATATAAACACGCGCGCGTAAAAAATACGAAAAGGCCTTTGGAAGAAGGGGCTTTATGAAAAAACCACTGCATAAATCAATTACAAATAAAATTTATTGAATTCTTCGATAATTGAGCTGTCTTGGTACCGACTTTGTTTTGGAAATTTTACACTGCTTTTATTACTAATTTACGCCCAAATTTGTGTTAAAATTGGCAATAAAAACGAATATTTGGTAGCTCGTAACATTTTAATAACTTTTTTAGATTTTACTATTCTGTTTCCATACAGACAAAATTAATAATGAGACAAAACGATATCATGTTTAACTTTGGATGTACACTGTCAAACAGCGGAGTAAAACTCCTCCGAAATTTCTATGGAAATAATGTCGACTAGTGTCACCTTCAGACTCGGACTTAGAATTAGAATAAGATTTAGCATGATTTTTGTAAAATTTAGTAGAAATAGTATTATTAACTATTTTCGTGTCGTTGCTACAGTACGATTGCGGCAGACACCTATCCGAAATCTTATTCAGTTTAAAGAGTTAGAATTATCGATAGCGTCGTCGTTATCACATATCATGTGCATAGGCACAGAGTCAGAACTAGAATTAGGGTTAGGGTTACGGCTTACAAAATTATAATTATTATTTGAGCTACGATTTTTGTAGTTGGAACTAATATTAGGGTTACGATTAAAATTTTTATTAAAATTTTGACGATGTTGCATATTATATTGTCGCTTTCTACATTAATCAATAGTGTGCTCTATGTTTTTGCAATAGTTGCAAATTAATTTATCAGAATTAGAACTAGATAAATGAGAAATTTGTTTATTATGATTAAAATTCGAATGGTTTTTATTTTTGAAACATTGCGTAGCGACATGACCTACTTTATTACATATATTACACTGTTTCATTGATTTTTTTTTTTGAAAACATTTGAATATTTTGTCATTTTTCTTCCTCTATAGCTAATTGAACAGCTTCGTTTAAAGTTTGAGGGTTTCTACACCTAACAATAGTAGAAATAGCAGGGTTTATCCCTAATAAAAATGTGTTTAATGCTAGATCCTCTATGGCGGCTATTCTACCTGGAAGTTCGTCAGGAATTTTGCAGATATATTGTATATCTGACTGAATTTTTGTTAAAATTTGTTCTAATTTTAAAGAAAATTTTATAACGTCCTCGGAAGACTGTTTTAAGTTTTGCGAATCTGATAATAAATGTGTTGAATGTTTTTCTCCCCAAAAGTAGAGCGAAGAAATGACTTTATTTGGTCCCACGTTTCAAATTTTTTTAAACTACATGCTACTTGAGCTTTTTCCTCTAGTTGTGAGATAATGAATTTGCACAAAATAGGCTATTATTCTGTCGTAGCTAATGATATTGTATTATCACAGTTGGTAAGAAAAGCACGTAGGGATTCCTTCTCCCCATTATAAGATTTTATAAATTTCGTCAAAAACGAAAGTGTGATTTTTTCTGATATATTGTCTTCACTTTTTTCTGCTTTAAGCGACATAGAAATTAAATTAAAATTTAAAGCTATATAAGATAATCACAATAAAATGACGTAAAAAGGTAATAAAATAAATTTAAATTAGAAAACAAAACGACTTACAGGAAAATAATAACTTCTATACGTTGCATTTACTCGTAACAATAGCCCGATGACACGTTACACTCGTGGCGGATCGACGGCGGAATCACTGACACGGTGACTCCGTCGCGTTGTGGGAAATAACGGGAATGGAAGATGTAGAATACTTTTCAAATATATTTTTCTTATGTTGGTGAGTAAGACCCAGCTGGTGCGGGCTCCTCGTGGAGGCTGATCGTCGGCCAGACGGGTGATTTCAGGACCAGGTGTGAGTGGAGCGGGCTTACGCTTCAGAGCGGAGGCTGATCGTCGTCCAAAATTGTGGTAGGCGCAGGCACGGCTAAGGCTTAATGTCGATCTTGGTGATTTCGGGGACCTCGGATTCGGATGCCAAATTCTATTATGACCTTCTGTTTGGTATCCGACTTCTGACACCAATTTGTTAGAGAGTAGTAGTAGAGAGAATTTACACATTAAAAAGTTAGATCCTTTCAGTTTAGATTTTAATTTTCAAATATCAGATAAAGTGCAATTATCATTAAGGTGCACAAGAACTGGCCCTGGATGGATATTAGATTAAAAACCAATTCTGTGTGGCATTACTTGAGAGAGTGATCTGAGTTGGATTGCAACAGTTGTATAACTTGCATAAGTATCTAGGTCTAACTCAGATGATTCTACAATAAATTTCTGGTCACAATAACAGAATTTGTATTAGATTAGGAGGACAAAGCAAACACCAACACGGGTTGCCTTAGCCACAAAGGTCTGAAGGCTTACATAATAACCCGGACTACCTGAAGGAAACACAAAACAACTAATCAATGGACAAAGATATATCTTTTATAAAATACTTTCCAGCATCGACGTAGATGTAGGTGATATCTTTTTTTTTTGATGCTTCTGGTGGAAATGCAAGACTTCTTTATTAAATTTACTATTGACCAAAATGAGAAGCAATCGTGATATCGCCTTAGCGGTTGCATCGTCTGGAATCGCTGCCACTCTGCTTAAAGCAGATAAAAATGCACACTCCGTCTAAGCAGAATTGGTGTCAAGTAGTAAAGGCTCTCTAACCAATGGACAAAGATATGAGTAGTCCACTTGCAAACCACTCTAAGTTAAAAAATGGTATTTTTTTTTTGCAAATGTGGCCATTGTATTTTAAATTTAAAAACTGTTAAGTACTCTACATCGCTACATTACGAATAATTTGAGGCTAAATATGGTATACCCTTGCAAAAGTCGCTATGTTATTTGACAATTCATTTTCAAAACTGTCTGAAAATTTATATGATTTATATTATTTCAAAACTAACTGAAAAGTTACTATTCACTTGCAAATGGCGCTAAGACGCCAACGTACTCGTGCAGATGCCGCCATCTTGTCTACCAGTACGCTTGATACTGTTAACGTGCACGCACGTATCTACTATCTACGAAATAAAAGTTCTTTATCAATTTTGTGTTCTAAAATGGAATTTCAAGAAAAAGAAGTTATTCTAGCACCTAATAGAAGAGGACGTAAGAAAATATCCGATAAATCTACTTGGAAGAGAGAAGTTGAAAAATCAAAACGGTAAGTTACAGTTTTATATTTCGGTTATCTTTTAACAAATAAATAAACTTATCTTAGAAAATTTATTTATTTATTTTATTCAAGGTATGCTTAGATTTAAATTTCTGTAAATAACTAACACTAGGGTAAGTCTCTATGTATTACTAACACGCTATGGATGTATAGTCCGAAATAAATGTATTTGAATTTGAATAGTTTGAAAACCATTATTGGCGAACTCTTAAATTTGTCTGATGGCTGAACAAGTAGTTTATTTTTTACTATTTTGTTGCAAATATGTGGCTAAAAGACCTCCAAAAATACCACAATGCGTACATAGAAATTTAAAACAGGGTTATCAATGTAACGAGTTGACGACTCAAGACTATAGTAGTAAGTTTTACAGACATTTTTATGCATCTTCAAACAAAATTACTCAAGATACATTTTTATTAAAGCAAGAAAAAAAACTCAAACAATATGTTATTTTGTTCCAAAGTACGAATCAACTATTGGCGGTAAACGCTCCATCAAATTAACAAAAGTATGCCAAAAAGCAATGACCACACTTTTAGGAATATCTAAAGACAGAATACAAAGAATTTGCAAAAGACATTTAACTACTATGGAACTGCCGAAAGAAAGAAGAGGTGGTGATAGAAGATCTTCACAGTATTCAGGTCGTACAGAATCTGTTAAGTCATTTATAAAGGGTCTTAAATCCATAGAATCACACTATACGAGAGGAAGGTCTACTGTACAATACCTGAGCAGTGACCTTAATATAAAAAATTACACAAACTTTATAACAATGAAGCACAAAATGTGCCGGTGAAATACGAATTTTTTCGGAGAATATTTTTTTTTTAAATTTAAGTTTTAAGACACCGGCTACTGACGCTTGCTCTAAGTGCATTCAATTAAAAGAGAATATCAAAAGTGAATATGATCTAGCTAAAAAACAGATATTGATAGCGCAGCTTAGGATTCACAGGTTAAAGGCCAAAACTTTTTATACTAGCCTCAAGACGCAAAATGACATTGAAATTATCTTATCCTTTGATTGTCAAAAGAATCAGGTTCTACCAAAAGTGCCAGATCAAAGTGCCTACTTTAGCCGACAACTGTACGCATATAATCTAACAATCTGCCAAGGGCCATCTTGTAGCCCTCAAAATGATTCAAATACGTTTATATACACGTGGCTCGAAACCGAGGCTTTAAAAGAAACCAATCAGATTGCATCAGCATTATTTCACAGGCTGTTAAATACCACTTTTGATAGCAGTATTGAACATATAAAATCGCTGCCACTCTGCTTAAAGCA